GTGAGTGACATCACAGCACTCTCGTCTGTACAGGGGCAGAGTGATGTCGGTGGTCCACACGGACCTGCCCTCCGTGTCTCTTTAGTGCCTGAAGGATGGCAGGGGATCAGAAACATTTGTTGAAGTGAAGGAACGGTTGACTAGAGAACACAGAAAGGGCCGCATGAAAACTTAGAAGGCCCAGGGTTCCTTGACCCAGGGTCCCTCTGGGGCCTGACCGTAGGTATTGTCATCTCCCCACCCCCATCTGATAGACTCCACTGGACAATGAAGCATTTGTGTCATGAGCTGCTGCCCACAGTGCCAGGTACAGCAGGTGGGGTGTGATTTCTACTTAAATTCCATTGATAAAAAACTGACCATACTTCGGCATGGGAGAAAACGGAAATTTTTCTAGTTGTGAATGGGGGTGGGGGACAGATAAATTAGCACTTAACTGTCTGAGTGGACAAGGATGATCTTGCCCGAAGTGTACCCCTGGTGGCTGTGTGCTACCACAGAGCGGGGGAGGGGCCTTGGGTGATCATTTAGCTCAATACACTGATTTTTACAAATGAAAAGACTGTTGGGGACTGGAGTCCCACTGCTTTGCTTTATCAGTGAGCACTTTTATCTGCAAAGTGGGGCTTTGTAAGAAAAAATTCTCATTTGCTTCATAAAAGGAGCTCTCAGAGATAAAGAAAACAGAGATCATCCAAGCTTGGGGCTGGGGGTGGGTGGGTGATGGGGCAAAAACTGAGGCCGGAGGATCAAGAGTTCAAGGCCAGCCTGGGTTATATGGTGAGATTCTGTCTAAACACACAAACAGCAAGGGAAACTATGAGGTGGATGGTAGATAATGAGGACACTGGCTCTGAGCACGAACGATTCTCCAGTTACTCACGAGCCTTCCGTGGTGGCTTCTCATCAGAGGGAACGTTAGGTTCCTCAAACAGTACTGCAAAAATCATTTAAGCAATCCTGTGTGGGAGGGATGAGATGGTGGCCTTCTTTGATAATTGTATGCTTACTGTGTGAATTTGTGCAATTATTTAACCTCCAAGTTGTCTTTATCTTGAAAATAATGGAGATAGTAATGCATACTCCAGATATTAAAGAAGAAACAAGAACTCTCCACTGGTCTCTGGCACTTACTGGGGACTCAATAAAGGTCGGTTTCTGTTCTTAACTGGTCCAGGTCCTTTTTTTTGACTGCCTACCCATTAGGTGTAATTGCTGATGTAATCACTCTCACAGGGGGCAATTCTATCAACATTCCATCCGCAGATAAAGTCAGCTTTAATATCTGCTGTTGCTAACTTGGTGGGGGAGACTCCACGGATCAAAATAAACATACTTGCTCCCTAGGGAGCCCGAATGTGAACAGAAAATAACAGTGCCATGTGACAAGCTGCAGGGACAGAATGGGGGTGGTGGGAGTGGGAGAAGAGTTGGGAGTCGGCTTGGGTAAGTGATGGGGGGCTGCCCTGAGAAGGCTGTGGGCTTCACAGGGAGGGAGGGGAGGCGGCAGGTGGATGAGGATGAGGTGGGGGAGGACACGGGAGTGAGGAAACACATTTTGTATAATGCGGGGCTATTTTTGGAACTGCTGGAACAATAAAAAAATAAAATAAAAGAGCTCAAGGAGAAGAGAGAGTCCAGGTGACAGACACCCACCGACAATAAGAGTTAGGACACTGCTCCTGCAGACGTGGAAGCCGGTGGAGAATTTTGAGCAGGAAGGCAATACAAAAAGGATGAATGGAAAGTCCTGGAGACAGTGACCCCGTGTGACCCCCAGTGGTAAAGTGAGGGTAGGCTAACTAGAGTCCATAGGTACCCAGGCCACTCTATCCTGGGAAGTGGTACAGGGGACTGAGCACAGGGAAGGCCTGCTGTGGACCGAGGGTCGGCTGTATTCCAAGAATAGGCAGTACTAACAAGGTCTGTGTTTTCAGAAGGGGGAGGATTATGGAGAGACAAGCTAGGGCATCCAGATAAAGGCCTAGGAAAACGAGGCTCCGTGATGGAAGAGTTCTCAGTGGCTGCCCTCTCCCAGCTTAACAACACTTCCTAGTCTCCAGTGGTCTGACTTCGGCTTTCCAAGGAGGCTTTGCTTCTAGAGAGATTACTATGGTAAATAATTAAACCAGCATGTTGTGTATTTCCAGGGAGCCTGGCCTCAGCAGGGATAGTTAAACCTAGTTTTCCCCAGGACCCAATCAATCTTGATAATTGGTACTTGAGGGCCACAGACTCAAGACGTCACAAATCTAATGTTTTAGGAAGGTCTCAGACCTTTTCCTGACCATCGTGTCCATGTAACCAGACCTTCCCCTTCCTTCATTTCCCCTCTTCCCAATGCACATGCAGCTCTTTATAAAGATAGCGCTGTGCGATATGTACACTTTAAAAACAGGCCCGCCCCTTCTGGTGGGTTTTAAACTGAAACGCTCTTTGCATGCACCTTTTTAGGCAGCTGGGGAGGACATCCTGGCAGCTGCCAAGCATAGCAGAGCCTGTGTGGTCGTGGGGTGGGAGGGGGACTGGAGACTGGCACATCACCTTCAGGGGTGCTGGTATGTAATAAGCCTTTGGTGTTCTTTGGTGCCAAAGGGATGCCAGCCAAGAAGAAGAAGCGAACATTGTATTAAAAGCAGCTGCAGAAGCCAGTGGCTTGAAAAGGCAGATTTCCCAGTGTGCCCTGTGGTCTTCGCGAATTTGACACATTTACTCACTGTGGTTTTGTTTTAGTTTTCTGTGATAACTTGCAAAGACACAGGGAAATCCAGTTTTAGGGTTATTAGTGAAAGCCCTTCTGCCCGGTTCCTTTGGATTGCCTGTTAGAATTTGTCCTCTGAGGGACAACTGTCATCAGGGGTGACTAATAAGGGCTTCAGCTCCAAGAGTTTGTTTTTTTTTAAACTCTGAGAGAAGCACTAATAAAAACGGTAACGTTGTTTCTTTAGCACTTTTACAGATTACAAGGTACTTTTCACATTCCTTTGAAAATTATAAAGTGAGAACTGAATGCTAATTTAGTTATTATTTTCTGAGATTCATGATATCTACTCCAGGTTGATTGAGCACGGATCTTGCAGACCCATCTTTTCCTCAATGGTCCAGGGAAACTTGGGTATTGGCCACGATCCAGGTTCTACAGATTTTGTTAGAAATAAAGCAGGAAACCAGACAGACTTGTTTGCTACCCTTATAGACCTCCAAGGGGAAGACAGACATTAAACAAATAATTACATACAAGAAGCATGTTTTTAAAAGGCACGGTAGGGGCAGTCAAGGGCATGACACCCTGGGAGGTAACCTGGGGCTCCAGCAGGGGCAGAGGCAGGAAAGGCCTCTGGTTGGAGGTAGGAAGTGATGTTTAAACTGAGGTCTAGGGGATTAGAATTAACTTCTCAGAGGTTGAGAAGAACATGGCATTAAATACTAGTATCTGAAAGACAGCATGGGAGAAAGGCTGTGGATGCTGAATGAGGGTGAGTGTCCAGAAAGACACCGAGAACTCTGCTTGAGGCAGACTTTTCAGATAAATAGGTGGAGGAGACTGAATGGGGGTCAGATATTGTTTATTCTTCTCTCTCTTCCCAAGGAAGCAGCCTTCACCTGCTGTTTAAAAAAGAAGAAAAACAAACTTTATCTGTTAATTACTACAGGGTAGGAATTTGCACCGATAAGTATTGTTTTTTCAGTGGGGAGGGGAGGAAAAGGACTTGAGAGGACTAGCTCAGGTTTACCATCAAGTAGCCAGCAGAGCTAACCTCTGAACACACACTAGGCAGCTCACAACTCCTCGCTGTCCAAGCCAGTCCAAGCCTTGTTTTTAACAGCAATATTATACAGCTTGGGGAATTGGCAAAGGAGCTTTGAGGAATTTGAAATACTACCGTGGGCAGAAAGTGCTCTAGGTGAATGGACACCACCAGGCAGAAGGCTGCAGGGTGGCTTAGGAGGGTCCTAGAGGCATGTGCTTTGGGGAGGTTCCCTGAGCTAACTAACCACTATCCGGCCCAGCCGGTTAATCATTTCCTGACCTTTGTTTTTCCTGCCTGAGGATTGCCACATCGTCTTCCCTCTCCCTTGCTTGCCTTACTCCACGAGGCTCCTTCATCCGGTAAAACAAAACAAAACAAACAAACAAACAAACAAACAAAAAACAGCTCCAACTTTAGAGGCTGTTTGTGAGAGCCCCAGACATTCTCAAGGCCCAGACAGTGAGGTCACAGGCTTTCTTCCTCTAGAAATTTGTCCTCTCTTCTCTACCTCTTTCTAAAGAGAGATCTGGAGCTGGGGTCCAATCCGCGCCAAGTAGATTATGCTCTCCGTTTCACTGGCAGTAAAAAGAGGTGCCGTAGCAGCAGTGTAGGAAGGCTTAAACAAGGTATGGTATGCAAAAAGCCTGGCTGGGAGACAGCGGTGAGAGTCCAACACACGCTGCGTCCTTTTATATCACCTGGTAACCCGGATCTTGTACAGCAAACTAGATTGTTATTTCATTCAACTTGGAGAGGTATAGGTATGAAATAGGCACGAGATAACAGTGAGTCATAATGGCAGGGCTTACACCCAGGTACCCCGGCTGTCCTGCGGGCCCAGCCATGCAGCATCCAGGTGACGCGCTCAGGCCAGAGTTCAGAACCCAGAATGGTTCCGGACCGCACCTGCTACAGGGAGAACATGACAAGTCAGGACTGTTCTGGGGCCCCTGCAGCCGGCTGGGCCACCGAGGGCCACTCCCACAAAGTCCCCTAGCCTTTCTTCCTGAGTAAAATGCGGCTTCGATGCTTGTCCGTCCGTACGACTGTTTTTTCATTTTCCGCACACTTTGCAATGTGGCCACATATTCTCTTTCCAAGCCTCGCTATAGTAGTCAGATTCACTGCAGTAGACGCAGCGGTCCCGACCGGTCTGCCCAGACTGAGTACCCACTCTTGCTGGGGTCCCAAGAAGCTGCCGCCGCTGCTCCGGGCAGTCTGAGTTGTGAAAGTCACTTCACAACAGCCGGGTGGGACTCGACTCGCGCAGAACGTAAGAGCCAAGGCCCCGCCCACCGCCCACCGCCTAGCGCGGGGGCGGGGTTATGTCTGGGGGCGTAACCAGTAGGGTGGGCGGGGCCAGCTAGAGAAGGCGGAAGCTTACTGTCTCCGGGCGGCGGCAGAACCAGGAGTCCAGATTTCCACGTTCTCCGGAGCGGGGCGCCGGGAGACGGCGTGTGGCAAAACCCGGCGCCCGGAAGCCCTTGCTTTCTTTGACGCAAAGGCTCGGGACGAAGCAGCCGCCGTCTGCCCAGCGCCGGGCTAGGAGCGACCCCAGACGGAGCCTCCGAAGTCCCTCCGCCCCACAGCCTCGGCCGTCCCCGCCGCCGTCCTCGTGGCCATGGAGTGTCCGCACCTCAGCTCCAGCGTCTGCATCGCCCCGGACTCAGCCAAGTTCCCCAACGGCTCCCCGTCGTCCTGGTGCTGCAGCGGTGAGTGCGGCCCCGGGGCTGGCCGGCCGCGCACCCGAGGTCCCGGCTCTGGCCCGGGCCTTGCCGTCGAAGGTCCG